GCCCAGGTTGGTCTCGAACCTCAGAGGTCAGGCAATCCTCTCACCTCTGCTTCATATCTTAATGTAGTATTATCTTATATGTTTCAGCATTTTGTTGTTTGTTTGCTTGGGGTTTTTTTGCATTTTCAAAGTTTAATGTTCACTTAGAAGGCGGGAGAAACTCTGAATTCCTTTTAGACATGTACCATTCATCTTGAAATTATGCTGAAAATGTGCCAAGACATTGATAGTTTTGTAGAGAAACATAGGCTCAATTTTTCTGGTGTACATACATTTAGGTATTTTCCTGTTTAATTCCTTTTATGCAGAAAAAATGGAAACTGTAGGCATTTTCAAAGAACTAGGAGAAATTAAAAGGGACTCATTCTAGAAACAACTTTTCATATAATTGCATCATTCTTATTATTCCCTGGTCTGCAAATGGTCCAATTTGTCTGAAAAATGAACAGGTCAAATATGTGAGCATAGCTACTCTGCCAAATGTGGGTAACTGATATCGCTGAAGATTTATGAGCACCCCTCACCACCTGTCTCCGATTCCTTGTATTGTCTAGCCCAACTGAAGTTTATTTGTCTTCAATTAAGGAAGCTACTAAGAATAAAATAAATGAAGAACTGAATAGTTAAATGGAGTGTGCTTGTGTGTGTGTGTGTGTGTGTGTGTGTGTGTGTGTGTGTGTGTGTGTGAGAGAGAGAGAGAGAGAGAGAGAGAGAGAGAGAGAGAGAGAGAAAGAGCAAATAGTATTTGAATTTTTACCAAAAACTCTCTATACACTTTTGACACACAAGTACCTATTTAACAATACCGATGGTAAACAACTGGTTTTGAAAAGTATGTAAAAGAGTAAAATAGATGCAAAGCACTGGAAAATAATAGCAATTTTAAAATGGGTCTTGGTATTACATAATTTTTTTTCATGTATTAGTAGGTTCAGCCATAAAATTCTTTATTTTTTTTCCTTTCAAAAGTAGCCAAAAAACAAACATCTATCTTTGCTTTCTTTGCAGGAAAGAACCAGTGTCTGGATTATTTCCAGGCCATCCCGACAGCTATTTCAACTGGAACAAGTGACCTTTGGAACAGACTAGAACATAGCAGTCTGGCCAGACAGAGTGGAGGGAGTAGTCAACTGGGAAGGACCCCAACATGCTCTTCTGAAAGCTCATTTGAAATAAAGACAGATAAATGAACTTAAAAATATTTAAAACCAGTGAAAACTGTGTGACCATAATATGGGATTCAAGGAAAGATACAGTTTGAACTTTGCCTGTCATTCTTCGATACACATGCTCATCAAATATAGTTCTTCACTCCTTTGAGTACTAGAATGTCCCATAATTAGACAATATTCATCTTTGAATCTTCACAGTCTCTTTGAAGCTCAACAATCATTCTTTTGTTTCTCCTTTCTCAACTGGACCAAACTTCCTTAGCCTTTAATTATATGGTGGCTGTTAAACACTCTTAGACAATGATCAAGAGTTTTATTTAGCAAATTATTACTGTAGTTAGTTAAAATAATGGTAAAGATTTTATTGGAGAGGAGAAAGCAGTTACCTTGTTTCAATATTTATTTGAAGGCATGTTGTTTTCTTTCTAAAAGAGCATAAGGAATTTTATTTCACATCATTAGCAAATAGCATGTCAAAGAATTCTTTAAACTTTTACTAAATGCTTATGAATAAAGTGCTGTGCTTGGCGCTCAAGATGATACAAAAATGTCAAGGCAATCCTTTGAAGCTGGTTGAAAAATAAATAGCAAAGATTTAAAAATAGGTTAGTAAAAATGTAAAAAGAAAAATGTTTCTGAGACATTTTGTTGATTTTTACAAAAAATTAATAGTAATGATAAGGTCCCAGAAAATTCTACGGATTTCAAAATATTCTTTCATAAAGAACTTAGGTCCAGTGTATACTAGAAAATCCTTTAAAGCAGGTAACTCCTACAGCTTCTAGCCAGGTCCTCTTTAACGAGAACCACAACGTTTAAATGTTTTAATGTGTGTTCCAAGGTGTCTATAAAGGTGCCTGCACACTTAAAAGAGTTTCAGTCAATGAATTTTTGAGTGTGCATCTGCATGAAAGTCAAACATTCAGCTATGGTAAATAGGGTAAATTTTTGCAACATTTTTGTTACACTGTCATGGTGGTGCTATTAACATTCAGTAATACAGAAATAAGTAATTTGACTATATGTTTATCATGTAATGTCAGAAAAACGTGAAATGATCTTTTAAATTCAATTTCTTAATTATTTCTTCTTTTGTATATTATTTAACTATGATTTTGGCAATAGTGTTGCTTAGAATCTATTAAGTAGTGTGTAAAGAAATAAATCCAGAGAAAGGCAATGCTGTCTAATATTTAAATAATATCTATATATATTCATTTAAAATCAAAGAAACAAAGACTATACATAATTGTAGGAGGTGGTGTCCTTACTAGAGGTAGAAAATCTAACTTTGAATTCTAGAGAAATTGTACTTTGGGAGATGGACTTTCAGAATTGAGTTATCATGCATCTTAACAACATAAAATAAAACATGAGACAGATGTACAAGAATTAAGATTTGTGTCAAATTTGTGAGATGGAGATTGGAGGAAGAAGTTTTGGAAAGATTTGTTTGAAGTAATCTGGGAATGAAAAGACACTTCTTGTATGAGACTTGGGGCTTGAGGGCAACACCAGTCACACTCATCTCAACAGCTGCTTATGAAAGGTGTAGTTTAGGTGGAGTCTGAGATTGAACTGTCAAAATTGAGCCCAAGATACTTCAAGTAATTTAACAGAGGTTAAGACCCAAAATCATGAGTAAATATTGAATTTGGAACTATATACGGAAACACTGGAATAGAAAAATATTAGCAGTCAGCTTTTTTTTTCTCATGGTTATGCTAAGTAACATCAAAAGGAATTTTAAAAATTAGTATTTAGAAATGCAAAAACACGAACTTTATCAGAAATTCTGTCTGAAAATAAATTCCCATAATATGACTAAAAATTTTGAAAAAAATTATAATCCAAAATACAAAAAACAAGAGATGAAGAAATTTATTACCATCAACCTGTCCTGATAAGCCCCAAACTGAGTATCAGATATCTGATACTAGCTAGTGTGAGGTACCCAAATTTAAACACAAAAATGATTCTGGAGAAGTTTTTGGTTCACACATTATTTTAATACATAATGGTTTTTATTAATTCATGTTTCCCACACTTTTTCTTTATGACACTGAGCTAACTGAAGAGATCCTGTCAATTTAATGACATCTATTAACACATCTGTTCTCAAACTTACTAGATGTTTTCTTTACCCACAAAATACACATTATTTGCAAAAAGTGAGTAAGAAATAAATTGTATTGAATGAGTTGATGGTGTAGAAAGGCCATGCGTGGGAGCCCTGTGTGTGTCCAAAGTACTTACATCATGTTTTTAATAGATTCAAAACTTCCTCATTATTGTTCAGCTAGCCACAATCTACATATCACTATCAAGTCCACATTTTTTAGACTATCAGCCAAGACACCCTTTGTATTATTACTAGCCTAAAAAAACCCCCCAAATATGGAAAGTGATATTTACATAATATAGTTATTGCACCAGATATTTCTGGTGAAAGGTACAAAATCATGACCTTTCTCCTCAGCAGGATCAAGTCCACTGTTTTCACAACTAAATGATATTTGCTCATAAAGCTAAAATGTGTGTGGGCTGGAAGAAATGCAGTTAAAGGTAAAGCCTTTTCTTTCTTCTTTGCCTTTTTCCCTCACTCTCTTTCTTTCAGCTCCAAGTATGATCAAGAAAATCTGTCATTTAATTAACTTCAGAATGTGTCTAAATTAGATACTATATAATGAATAAATTATACAATTTCATTTATTTAAAATCTTTTATTCTCAGCAAAATCAAACATATCATTGAGTGTACATAGAAATACAATCTTCAACCATATCTTCATAAAAATGCACTGGAGAAATAAATGTTCATAATAAATGACCAATTATGTACTATTTAATCATGCCAGTAGCAGAGTTGATTACCATCAAAAATTGGTAAAGTAACATCTTAAATGTGCAAATGCCTTCTTAGTACTCTATTGTGTTACCATTGATAAATGGTCACTAAATATATACCTATTACATAAATCTTTTTAAAGTACAATAAAAATACAAACTCTATCTGTTAAAAAAAAGCCATTTATATGGCTTCTAAACATCCTCATTATACAAATTCCAAAATACTATATGACAAACAAAATTATAAAGACTCTTCTTTATGAAACATATATTGCCCTCTAATTAAGGTACAACTTAGCAGATAAAAGAAAATCAACAAGAAGGCTTGTATCTATCATACACCATTATGGAGATACACACAAGTATAATATTGCATAAGCATTTTTTATTTTGTTTTCCTAGTGAAAATGTACCTTCAGCACTTGAAGAAAATTCCCATAAAAAAAGATAAATCTACTTTTGAGGGCTACCCCCCATCTAAGCCCACATTTTTATTAATTTAATCTATTGTTCTTATAATGTGATGAACCAGATTAAATTTTGAGCATAAACATTTGCTGTACTGAATATATATTAGTCTATTACATAATGGGAAAAGGTATAGGAAACAAATATGTTTAAAGGTCAAGATGCATTAGCACATCAAGAATGAGATGCAAGACAGTTTTACTGCTCATGTTCAAGACTAAATTGAGTAGCAATATGATTCTCGTGAAAAAGGAGATTTTTTACTTCAACAAAAGAAATACAAATTAAATTTGTTGAGTAATGTTGATAATTTATATAGAACAGTTGCTACAGATTTTAAAGTATCAAAACTAATGAAGCATCACAAAGTAAGCTTTGGTGAAAAGATATTTGTGTCAGAGACGAAAATGCGAGAAAGGTATTCCTTTTTAGTGAGGAGAAACATTTAGTAAATAAGGGTAATAGGAAATGAAACTAAAGACAGAACAAGTTCCAAATGTATTTTAGGAAATATTGAATCAGATGATGTTTAGAAATTATAACATCTAATTTGAAGTAAAATTTTATTTTAAGTTTTTTGTAAATAGCAAATTTTCATTTTTCACAATCTTTATATATAAAAAATTAAATATTTAGAGCACAACTGATAATAACTACATTATCACCTTGTATTTGCTAATTAATAAATATTCTAGAGATATTTGGTTTATTATTGGAATTTATATTCTTGCTGTTTTGCCTGCTAAAAATTAGTGATCTGGTGGCATTATATTCAATGTTTACATTTTCTCAGTGATGTGAACAGCATTTTATACATAAAATGATATCTGTCTAATGAATGATAACATGCTTATTGGGCTGAAAATAGACCACATTTCATTTGGCATTGGTATTAATCTCTTCAGAATTTTAAAAGGTATCATTATGGCTTTTGGGGTATCAATAAACAACTAGCAGCCTAAAAAGTGAACCAAATTTCAAGCTGCTAATTACTTAGAACTCAGACACAAGGCAGACATTTGTGTAATTTGCCTTTCAATTATAAATTCATCTACAACAAAAGAAGAAAGGAAGGCAAAATTATGAAATATTTTATAGTAAGTTTTTAAAAAAATAAAAATTACAGATCCATAGTGAAAGTGAGGAAATTTTACTGAAATAATTTTCAAAGTGTTAAGATACTCAAAAACATTGGCACATGTATAATACTATCTTAAAGTAATAATGAATGAGGCATATATATAAACACATTTAACATAAGTTGGGATCTCTTGTTCTTGACATCAGCACCTGCTGTCTAATGGGTCGAGACAAAATACTGTGCCTTCAAGAGTTAGTCCCATTTTGAACCCCTCCTGCAAAACAGAATAAAATCATTAAAATAGAGTATGCTCATGGCAAAATAAAGTAAAATAAAATCAGAAAATAAAAGAGACTATGGACAGAAGTTGAATCTCTATACTTTGATCGATGAAGAAACAACTAAATGCCAAATGTTGACTTGTCAAATTTTTGTATAGGTGTAGCAAACTGGCAGTTATTTTATAACCATTAACATTTTATGTTTTAAACATCTTTGAGGTCAGCATACATCAGAAACAGAAGAAAACAGCAACATACAAAATTGAGAGTTTTAAGACAAACATTTCTTGTTCAGTAGTGTCTACTTATTATGTTATTCTACTGTAGCTTAAACCTCTCTGCTGGCTTTGAAGATTATTATTAATTTAAATACTATTAATATAACTAGACCTTAAATGGATGACAGGTTCAAGATAGCTTGATAATTTTCACCTTCTCCTTCGGGTTACCACTGACCAGTGCCTAGGTGCAATATTTCTTGTAAATGCAATGCCATTTCTTATGTAGAGCACAGAACTGTAGAACATTTTGCCACAGAGGAAGCTTCCCCTGCTGTTGCTTGTAGTGGACTGGCTCCTTTGACAACTACTCCCACAGCATGTTTTTTGTTGTTGTTTGTTTGTTTGTTTGTTTTTGAGTTGGAGTCTCACTCTGTCGCCCAGACTGGGGTGCAGTGGCCGCTCCCGGCCGCCGCAGCCTCGACCTGCTGGGCTCCGGCGATCCTTCCGCCTCCGCCTTCCGAGTATCTGGAATTACAGGCGCGCGCTACCACGCCCGGCTAGTTTTTTGATTTTATTGTAGAGATGAGGTCTCACCAAGTTGCCCAGGTGGGTCTCGAACCCGCGGGCTCAGGCATTCCACTCACCTCAACCTCCCAAGGCGCGGGATTACAGGCTGAGCCACCGAGCCCGGCTCCCCAGCCTGTTTTAAAAGTTAAGTTGCTTTTGATTTATTGAGTGTAAATAGCACAACTGCTGTAAAAGAGAGTGTTTCTCTCTTTCTTTCTCTAAAATTCTGAGTTAAAAGTTAATGGCCAAAGAGTCTGACCTCTACTCCAAGCTCTCCTGTTCTTTGCATAATTGAACTGTGGGCCACCTCTGGTCCGAACACCTTACCCATCCCCTCCCTTGCCTACATCTGTGCATGTGGGTTTACAAAGAGATGAAAGGCACAGACTTGCACTGATAGGTGGAACTGTAGGTTTCCTTGTAGAGCAACGTGGCAGTACCCATTATATTCTCTTTTCCTTATTAAAAGAACTGAAATGTTGGTAATTTGTAGTTTGGGTTGGCCATGTGACACATTATTGGCAAAGGAAATTAAGATAGCGGTCTTTGCCTGAAGAAAACAAAAATGTCTCTTAAGGTCAAGCATTTGTCTTCAGCTCTGCTTTGGATGTTTTGTTAAATTAGTCTGTGCACCTACTTGTATGTTAGCCAACTGTGTATCTTTTTGTATTTCCCCAAATGACTTTCATTTAGTATCCAAATGTACTTGTCTTTGTATAAATTCAATGTAAACATCATCACATATAGGTGGAAGGTAGTTACAAAGCTGTAAGCCACACTTTGTCATAAATGTTCCAAGAATACTCTTCATTGTGTTTACAGCACAGAGACTACATAGCAATGTAATCACTGTAAGCATTTTCCAAAACTTTTGTCTCAGTTCTTGGAACGCAAACTATATCTAGTTGAGTAAAAGTCAGAGTACTTATCATTTTTTTTTTAATCTGTACTTATTATACAAAAAAGTCTTGTATTTATTTATATATTTCAAACAGCCACCAAATACTTAGGAAAATGGATACTTTAAGTTGAAAATATTGTAAATGCATTTTTCTTTAAAAATATTTTATTTCGGCTGGGCTCAGTGGCTCAGCCTGTAATCCCAGCACTTTGGGAGGACAAGGCAAGTGAATTGTCTGAGCCCGAGGGTTCGAGATCAGCCTCCAACTCAAAAAAAAAAAAAAAAAAGAATTGTATTTCTATTTCAGACCACTTAGCCACAGAGAAAGCCTCTCCTAGTCCTGCTGTTGCTTGTAGTGGACTGGCTTCTTTGACACCTACTCCCCCAGCATATTTTACAAGTTAAGTTGCCTTTGATTTATTGGGTATAAATACACAACTGCTGCAAAAGTTTCTCTCTCTCTCTCTCTCTCTCTCTCTCTCTCTCTCTCTCTCTCTCTCAGATTCTGAGTTAAAAGTTAATGGCCAAAGAGTCTGTCCTTCTCTACTCCAAGTTTTCTACTCTTTTTCATAATTAAACTGTGTACTATATCATCTTCTGGCACAATGAATGATAGGTAGATGATTGATTGCTAGATAGATAGACGCTAGATAGGGAGCTAATTACCTTGAAAAGATTTGGTACCATATAATACTTTTACATTTTATCAGTGCATTCTAAAATTAAACCAATGTCACTTCAATTACCCTAAAAATACTATTTATGAATGTGTTATCTGTATTGGAAACGCAGAATAGCAATTAGAGCAAAATAGGTATGGTCACTATTTTAATAATAAAGTGTTTGCATATCAATTACAATAATGTCTTCATGGTGATTTTTTAAGGATCCTTTCAGTGTCCTCTTAGGATAAACTAATCATCCCCCTTAGCAGAAACACTATAAGCCTTTTTGTTTAGATAAAATTTCTCACATATTTTCTGACCTTTCTTCACAAGTCTCATTTTGTAAATCATGATTTAATGAACTCTGAATCTTCTCAAAGTTTCCATTTCCTCTGGAACTTTAAAGCACTTAATTAAAATGAGACTTTATTTTCTTTACATAGCAATGGAAATTGTCATAAACTAACATTGCACAAAATAATTAAAAATATTATTAATAATATGCTTTGTATATATTATTCTCAATTGCATTCCTCATTTTAAATAGAAAGAAAAGCATATAATGAAAGGAAAAACTGCTCACATACAACACTGTTAACATTTTGAGGTATGTCTCTTTTTCTTCTATCTATAGATTTTTAAAAATAATTTTAATGATAATATAAGTACCTAATTTATGTTATATATAACTTTCTTATTTAAGTAATGTGTTACATTTATATAATTTTCTGTCTTTCTTTTTTCATTTTAGCAGAACTTGTATTACAGAGTTCTCATAAAACAAATTTGTTATTACCATATAAATGCTGTTGATTTTTATAATGATTATTTGTTTCTAGTAATTTACAATTATGAATAATGTTGAGTATATATTTTTATGCATAGAGATTAAACACTTTATTATTATATTGCATTATACTATTTATTATAATTATTTTCGTCTCAGAATAGGTTGTTTAAAGTTTTTATATCAAATGGAAATAGAAGCATTAATAACAAGTTATTCTCCAAAGGGATGCTATGTACTAACTCTTGCCTAGCAATGACTTAGAGTGTTTGTTTTATCACGTTTTCACTTGTATTGATTATTAGAAAAAAAATTCTAATTTGCTAGATTAAAATGGTATTTACAGCTATTTATTTAATTTGTATGTTTTCTTTGACTAGACAGAACATGTTGACATATATGTTAGCCACTTACAGTCTTCTTGTGTTTCTTGTGAACTGTTTATTTATCTTTTAATTCTTTAGTTTCCTAATCATTTGCTACTTGCTTTAATTATGTATATGTGAAGCACTAGTAAGTTTTTAAAAAACAAATTTAAGAAACCATTAGAAGATGATATGCACATATTTTTCTTTTTTTATAAAATTTTATCTCTAATTCAAAAGCATGATGAATATTCATAAATATTTGCAACATTTTTAAATGCCTAATACTTCTGAAATTTATTTGGGTATTTGCTGTTAGTTTCAACTGTACATTGATCTTCTCCCAAAATATTAACCAGTTCACTTAAAATCATTTTTGTATTTATTTGTGCATAATTATTTCACCTTTCATGCTTCTTTTTTAATGTATTAAATTATTATTGCTTACAAGGTACACTCAGAGCTCTCAATATGATTTTGCTGATTTGTCTGTTAGTAATATGTACTAGGCAGTTTAAATTATGTCAAATCCAATAGCCACATTATTGTTTTCAAATAATATCTAATCTTATAACTATTAATGATAAAACACACCTTAACATTTCTGCATAAATTCTTACACGCATGAGATATGTCAGTGATTCCAAACTTAATCATTCAATACTATTAGAAGTAGTTTAGTTATAATTCTCTGTGAGTGGGAGAGAAAAACTAAATGTGTTACTAGGCTTATTAAATCAATATGGTGTTCACAACCCATTATACTACATTAAATGTTTACATTATATGCAAAGATAAATATAATAACTAAAGGTGTGCATTAGAATCATTAGGCTAGCAAGATTAATAATAAAGTCATCACAGACTTTATATGAAGACAATATTATTTTACATCAGTTAAAGTGACCTTCAAATAAATATTGAACTAAAAAAAACCGACAAGCAATAAAGTGGACAATGCAATAGTGATTTGAAAAAGAACATTTAAAATATGGGTTATAAAACCTCTTTAAACACAACTAGTTATCAGACACGCGCATACGAAACTGAATATTTATTAAATAAGGCATGCACATAGTAAGATTTTAGCTTTAAAAAGTTGCAAGTCATTTAAAATTATTATAAAAATTATATACCAACCATCTCTGACGCTACCCACCATGAAAGCAGAAAAAAAGGACATTAAGAAAATATTAGAAACAGCAAATACAAGTATAGCACCACAGTTTAATGTTATTCTACTTATACATCCCTAAATAATTCTAACACAGTGTTTCTCAAACTCAGTTCTTGCAAAAATCTGGAGATGGAGATTTATCTTTTAAACTCTATAAAACAATTTTCAATTTTATGAAGTTCTAAAAAAAATTGTAGAAGAGCTCTCTTTATGACCTGCATAACCTTTGAGAATAAGTATAACTACTTCAGTACTTGTCTTTGTTACTACAAAAACATTAGTCTCAAGTAGTGCAGGTGCAGTTGGTAAAACTAATGTAAAAGGAAAGGCATTGATTTCATATGAAATACAGCATTCTTGCTAAATAATCAGGCATTATTTGAGTGATTATTTCATAGGATTTAAAAATTCATAGACAAGTAAAAAATCTGTGCCATCAGACTGGAGAGATGTTGGTATCAACCGAAGTATGATATGGTGGTTTTAGTTTTAACCAAATTAACATCATCCATACTGTTTTACTAAAGTCTTAACTGGAATTGTATTGGTGTTATTTTGCTTTTATTTCATGTGTTAGTTTTGAATTCATAAGTGTATAAAAATGCAAGCATAAGTTATTTATAACTTTTTTGTAAATATTTTTAAATGTTATAACAATTTAAGCTAATATTAAGAATCTACATTTTTTATGTAAAAGCAAATTACGAATTGCCCAACTTGAAAAATACTGTTTTCACATATTCTTTGAAAACCTCAAGACATATGTTAAAGCGATTCAACTTTTAAAATCCAAGCATGCTATTTTATCTAGAACAGTAAGGAAATTCACATAATACGTAGAAAATAAGACTACTACATAGCTGTAGTCCAAAATGAGTGGAAGAGTATATTATCATTCTAAGGAGCACAGTAATTACCAGGGATAGATCAGAGGTCACCTATTAATTTTTTTTAACCTCCCAGGAGGCTTAGAGAGTGAATGTAGTAACCCAGGACTAATAAACGGAAATATTTCCTTCGCCTTACTTGAGTGTCTTCATCGTCTTTTCCCAGTCAGCTCCATATAATTGGTGTCTGTCTGGATGCTACCATATATAAACTTTTTGATGAAAAATAGAATGTAACAGCTTCACCGTAATGTAAAGGTCAGACATAAAGAGAAGACTATTCTAGTGTTCCCAATGCTATTTTTAAAATCATGGCCCACTGTATAAAGCTCTTGAAACCAACTTCTTCAAACTTCCCGACCAAAAAAAAAAAAAAGGGGGGGAAGAGAAATGAAAATCAAACTGGATGACATTCCTAAAGAAGTTGTCACTGAGTGTCTGCTTTTTCAATAAAAGTCCAGAAGTTATGAACTGCAACTACAATGATTCTTTTCAGAGAGAATGATTTTACTCTTACACAGATTTTCCCTCATCTACCCATTTACAATTTTGAAACACATAATTGTTAAGACTGAGATCAAATCGTATAAACCTAGTGCAATGACCTTTTAAATCTGGATTTCAAAACAATGAACCATCAGAATCCATGCCATTTTGTATATAAAAAATGAACATCCTCATTGCTGCTGTAAATTGAACCATTTAAAAAAAACCCTTATCTTTAGCATTTGTACTATTATTTTTTGGACTAAATATACATATTATTATTATTTTTTTAAGGTGACCAGAAGCCGTTTAATGGGTGTAATCTCAGGGCTTTTTACATATTATTTTCAAATAATTATTTCAAATGAGTTTTTATAATGATGCTAGTTCAAGGAAAGAGTAGTTTTGGTATATAGCATTCTCTTCATCCCAAAATTAAAAAGAAATAAACCATTTATGGGCCAATGTGTTAAAATAGTCACCTGCATCTCATCTAATTTTGATTGAATATCTGGAGGAAAATCCCCTGCTCCACAGTTAAATGGGTCAAAAGGTTCTGCTCCAAACAGGTCCCGTTCTAAAAGAAAACAATTGAAACGACAAGAAGTGAGTTGAAGTGAGTTAGATTTCAAAGGCAGGATTATGTAAATAAATATTTACATGATCAAATCTGCTACTATCCACACTTATACTTTATGTTGAACTTTTACTGGGTTTAGATGAGTGAAACACTAACAAGGAAAAAAGATCCACTGTCTGGTTATAAAGATTTGTTGTCCCAAGAAATTTATGTGTCTTTATTGAAGCCGTCCTAATATCAAATTCACTGAATAGTTGATAATTAATATATTGCAACACCTACATTTTATTGAAGCCCTTTAAATTTATCCAAATTAATGTATTACTCATGGATACTTCCCTAATTCCATTTATTGATGCCTTGCAACACAATAGTAAAGCAGTATGCGGGAATGAGTTGATTTTTAAGAAGCTCTACTAAAAGGTGATGTACTTTTATCTCATCCTTTATCCAGAAAAAACTGAAGATATATCATCTCATGTAGTATGAAATTATATCACCTTCCTAGATAGATGCAATGAAACAGGTTCTTTAAAAATGCCTCCTATCCCAGAAATAAATTTCTTTCTAGACAACAGCAGAAATGCAGTATCAAAAAAGCTCTCTGTACATATAAAGTATGCAATGTTTTTTCTCACTATAGAAGTATAAAAGTTAAAATTGATATTTGCAATTGATAGATTATGGCTTAATATATGATTTTAAAATTAAAAAATTCTTAAGAAATTTCTCAGAATCCATTCAAATGCAAACTTAATTTTAAAAATAGAGATTATATATGAAAATGGATAGTTATAACATATTCATACTTTTATTTTTCAGAGAACTTCACATTCTCTAAACTCAATGCTTCATATAAGAAATAATATTTTTGCAACATGATTTCTACTATATCCTCTAAAACCATTCTGTGACTCCTATTATGAAGAAGTCTGGATTTTTTTGTTTGTAACTCATTTTTTCAGATGCTTGTGTTAAATAAGTCAATAAATATGAAATATTTTGAAGTTTCTGGTGCTGGCAAGTGTAGTATATATAAGAGGAACATATAATTTATCATCCAAATACAGATACTTTTAGAAGTAAAAGGACCAGTCACAATTGTTACATTGGGACAAAAGTTATGTCAGGATTATCCTAATCAAATGGAAATTTATTGTTACCTCATATATAACTGAGGGGTATTAGTATTGCTGTAGTTTGCTTTCTTCAGTTTAATGTTTCTTAGGCAATAAACTAACATTTAAAGATCAGAGGAACATTTCTTTTGAGGAGGGCCTTGGATTCCATAATGCCATAAACATACCCAACAGTGATTTTCACTTAGTAGGTGCTTGTTAAAAAAAATGATAAAAATTAATTAGTGAAGGAACAGGGTGGCTAATCAGTGCGAACAGAGATTTTAATTATATAGATAGTCTTTGATTGGGACTCAAGAATTACTAGGGGTCTCAGATGAGCTTCAAGGAGTCCTTGATGGTCCTGAAAGGCAATTGTATATGAATGGACAGGCTGTGTTTTCCTGTGAAATTTCCTTTTATCATATTTTTAAGAGCCCATAAGCCCCCTACAAGTTACTAAACCACTATGCTACCTTTGAAGATATTAATACAATGTGAATTAATAAGCATTAAAGATATCTCTGGTTTGCATTTCTCTGATGATTAGTGAGGCTGAGCATTTTCTCATGTGTCTGTTGGCTGCTCGTATGTCTTCTTTTGAGAAGTGTCTATTCACGTCTTTGTCTCCTTTTTTAAATCAGAGTTTCACTCTGTCGTCCAGACTGGAGTGCAGTGGCACGCTCACGGCCACCCCAGCATCAACCTGTTGGGCTCCGGCGATCCTTCTGCCTCAGTCTTCCAAGTAGCTGGAACTAAAGCTATGTGCTACCACGCCTGGCTAATTTTTTGATTTATTGTAGAGATGAGGTCTCAGCAAGTTGCCCAGGCTGTTCTCAAACCCGTGGGCTCAGGCAATACCCTCACCTCGGCCTCCCAAAATGCTGGAATTACATGCTTGAGCCACCATGCCCAGCCTTTTGCCCACTTTTTAATGCGGTTGTTGGTTTTTTTCCTTTCAGCACATTTGACTTCCTTGTAGATTCTGGATGTTAGGCCTTTGTCAGGTATGCAGATGGCAAATATTTTTTTCCCATTCTTTGGGCTGTCTCCCTGTTTTCCTGATGGTTTCTTTTGCTTTGCAGAAGCTTTTCCATTTGATGAGATCCCACTTGTCCAACTTATTTCTTATGGCCTGGGCTTTTGGGGTTTTGATCAGGAATTGGATGCCTACTCCGATTTGCAGAAGGGTGTTAAGAATGGCCATCATTGGGCAACCCTCTCAGGTCCCCTACCACTCTGGGAGCTTGTCTGTCCTCTCAATAAATCCTGCTTTCTCAAAAAAAAAAAAAAAAAAAAAGAGTGGCTATCATTAATGAAACAAAAAAACAACAGATCAACAGGTGCTGGCGAGGATGTGGCGAAAACAGAAAGTTTCTACACTGCTGGTGGGAACACAAACTAGTTCAACCTCTATGGAACACAGTGCGGTGATTCTTAAAAGAACTAGAAATTGACCTTCCATATGACCCAGAAATCCTTCTTCTGGGAATATATCCGGAGGAACTTATATCACTCTACAAAAAAGATACCTGTGCCTGCATGTTTACTGCAGCACTATTCACAATAGCAAAAACACGGAACCAATAATGCTGCCCATTGAAACTGGACTATATTAAAAGAAAGTGGTACATATACATAATGGAATATTATTCAGCCATAAAGGACAAAATTATGAACGTTGCAGCAACTTGGAAGGATTTTAAGTCTATAATTCTCATTGATCTACCACAGAAACAAAGAACAAAGTACCACAGACCCTGAACATTTACCATAATACTATAAGAAAGGGATTGGCAGTAGCTAGAAACTGCCAGGGGAGGTGGGTGAGGGGGAAGCACATAACATCAATAAGGGTACCTAATCTCAAACCAGGTGAAGTGGGGACCAAAGGGAGGCCCAAAATTTACCTGTATAATGACCACTTGTATACCTAATCCTGAATTGTACCCCACATCTTTAAAATTAAATTAAATTAAATTAAATTAAATTAAAAAAGAGAGAGATCTTTGGTGGACTTTTTTAAGCTCATGTGGGTTTACAATTCATAACAAAAAAATCATGTAAGTTTAATTTCCATTAAAAAATAATAAAAATAGTACTTTACTCGGTCATGGCTTCCTTTATCCAGGAAATATTTACTGAATACAGATTATGTACCACATATTTTCATAGGCAATGGATTAAAGTAGTGAAGAAAGGGCAGGGCCCAACACTCATGACATTTACTGCAAATCAGGAAAGAATTATAAAACAAACATTCAAAGGGAGATTCAGTATTCAGAGAAAGTGAGAAACAGGAGATAAAAATATGTTTTGGAGAACTCTAAAATTCTCAAGCACTAGAGACAAGAAACTAAAGGGCAATCGTGTAGGTTTTGTTTTTTTGTATTTAGTAGATAATAACAAATTAAAAAATGAGTACATTGAAGAGTTCATTTACAGAAAAAGTCCTATTACTAAAATCCCAGTGGATTAGAGCTCTAGATGATTTCACAATTAAAATTGAGCAGAATAGTTTGTACTTAAATGGTTCATAGATAACTAGATATAGAGACTGATAAATAAAGATATATCTATATAATACTTGTCTATCTATTTATATATGTAACTATTTTTACTAAACTTTGATTTTCAGAAATACGTAGACATTGAAAAATGTACCAAAGTGTTATTACTTTAGTTTGTCATTAATAAATCCTTTAAAACAGGGGTTCCAGAGCCTCCAGGCCACAGACCAATACCAGTCCATGGCCTATTATGAACAGGGCCAGCTGGAGATGAGCACTGGCTGAGTGGAGCTCCATCTTCTGTCAGATCAGCAGTGATATTAGAGACTCTTAGGGGCACCGACCCTTTGTGACCTACACGTGCGAGGGACCTAGGTGGTGCATTCCTTATTAGAATCTAAGGCCATGATTTCCCCCAATGTTCTACTCCCACTGACCATGGAAAAATTATTTTCCACAAAATTGGTTTTTGATGCCAAAGAGGTTTGGGATTGCTACCTTAAAACCATTTTACCATTGCTGTCAAAGGCATTTCAAACTTATGAAAGTCTAAAACAGAATTGATTATTTTCTCCTTCTTTGATACTAGTTTTCCCTGTTAACAACATTGGGTCCTAAATCCTGAATTATATTGATTTTGAACTTTCAATCTCCATCTTGATAGATTATTTTCTTCTAAATATCTTCAAATCTATTCACTCTTCTCACTTCATATTTTGACTTTGATTAAGATCCTTCATTGTAGATATATTACTAGTTTATATTTCAAATTCTAGCATGACAATTTATTGTACATTATGGTGGCTACAGTTAATATTTTGTATATTTGAAAATTGTTAATAGAGTAGAATTAAGAGTTCTCAATCACAAAAAGATAAGTATGTGAGGTAATGCATATGTTAATTAGCTTGATCTGGCCATTCCACAATGGATAAAAATATCAAATATATGTTATACACCTAAATATATAAAATCTACATTTGTCAATTAAAAATAAACCTCTGGCCGGGCTCGGTGGCTCAGCCTGTAATCCCGCGCCTTTGGGAGGCTGAGATGAGTGGATTGCCTGAGCCCGTGGGTTCGAGACCCTCCTGGGCAGCGAGACCTCATCTCTACAATAAATCAAAAAAAAAAATCAGCCGCACGTGGTAGCGCATTACTGCAATTACGGCTACTTGGAAGGCTGAGGCGGAAGGATCTCCGGAGCCCAGCAGGTCGAGGCTGCAGTGGCCGGGAGCGGCCACTGCACTCCAGTCAGGGCGACAGAGTGAGACTCCAACTAAATAAATAAATAAATAAATAAATAAATAAATAAAAAAAATTAAAATTAAAATTAAAATAAAACAAACCTCTGAAACATTAATATTTGCTGAGTATGTAAGTGTATATCTCTACAGTTATAAATGAAACAAATGTCTTATTTAAGGCATGAGCAGTGATACTACTCAGCATAGTTCTACATAGGGTAAGTGAACTTTTAATCCAACAGAGATTCAGATGGCTTAAGCAAGTTAACTCGTATGTTGTATATAATAGATACTCTCAGTTGGGACTTAAGAAACAGTAGAGACTTCAGATGGGTTGGATATAATAATAAGATATATTTAGCTTAAAAAAAAATCCAGCATGTAATCCCAGTCTAGTATATGTGTGAAACACATGCTCATTGAATAACTAAATGAATGAGTGAGTCAGTAATGAGGTTCAAAGAAGGGAAAGTCAGGGATAAAAGAAGAGATGGAGGAATTTTCATAAGAACAAAAATACCCCATCATGATAACAGGGCATTGGCAACATTTTCTAAAACACGCTGTAATGTGTATATTATGGATTATTTCCTTAAAATTAGTTTGACTGGCACAAAATATATTCAGAGGAATTAGAAATATATTTCAGTTTATGTAAAGTATTGGAATAGTTTTATAAGCTGATTTTTAAAATCCTTAGTGTTATTACTTTGTATTTACAAATTAGTCCTTTAAAATGTATTGAATACCTAACATGAGCAATCTACTTTGATAAGTTCCACAGGGGGAAGCAAAAAAACTACAGGCCCTGCCATGTATTAAAGTCTTAAGCTAAAACTTCAGTTAAATTTCTAACGTTGTAATATGAACTAGAGAGAACGCACTAAAGCATAGTATATAAAATTCCCTTTACTTCAGTTTCCCTTTAGACACAGTGACTGATTCATGGCCATTGAGAATTATTCTTTCAGTTTCTGTGACAGGGTGCAGATCAATATACAGACAAGACATTGAAAATGAGCATATGTTAGATGCTTTCTAATTAGACTTTAATATTCCTTCCAGATATATAAAAGATGAAACAGAAAAACAATAAACTTATAGCATTTGAGATATCAAGGAAAGAACATGTAGATAGGGTTAATAAATAAGTCATGAAATTCATATATTTGTTCAACTAAGAATATCCATATTCCCTACGATAAAAAGATTTAGACTAGTTCTGTTAAACAGGTCAAAAATGATTAAAATAATAACCACTGAAGTTAATTTTAGTAATTAATGTAAATGTTAAAATATAATCCCAAATAATAAATATTTAATTAAATACTTTGCATTATAATGTAAATAAGCTGACACCAAAACATTATTATTCATACAATAGGTTCAAGTTGCAAACAAAGATGTCTTTAGTAATACTTTGAATTACAAAATAAAACAGAATTAAACACATTTGGGCCATATATAAAAATAGAGCATTACTTTAAATAATTACAATTGTTAGAGGGTTTTTGAAGATATGCAATTTTCCACAGAGTGTTAATTAAACTTTTTAAATGTACCCAAATATAGCAAGGAGTATTGATTTGTTTAGAAAGCTTACTAATCTCAGTAGATCTACTAGGTACTGGTGGTGGCTGTGTTCCGTTGCGAGTAGGTATTGAAGACTGATGTGATATTGGAGAAAACGGAATCATATCAAAGATGTCAGTGGAGGGTGACTTAGGTGTCATACTGCCTGCCTGTAATAAAAATAATATGAATTAGCATAGTAATCTATGTAGGCACATCGGAATGCTAAAGATTTCGTTACCTATAAAACATATATAACAGCAAATTCAGTTGAATCATAAAAACTTGCCATTTTGTAGATCAAAATAGTTAAGTATTGGCAATTTCATGTGGTTCCACTAGTTAAGCCAAATGCTCATTTGCAAGAAAGTAATAGAAAATTTCTGTAAAAATGTTCCAAAAGGACAGTGAAAATTGGGACAATACTTTTCTAGATGAGTATACAAGATCTACTGAATTCTTTGTAGATCTAAAAATAATTTCATTTGTAGCAGATAATTAGACATATTAGAAACTATTTCTAGAAAAACATGATTTCAGTAACATACTGTTCTTGAGATTATAAGTTTTAAACAGGAATAATTAAATATAAGTGATTCGCCTTCTTAAATATAAACATCTAAAAACATTTTTTTTACCTTGTAGTATATTTTAATTTTGCATTTGTAACTATGATGACAACCAGTTGATATTTATTGCAGTATATTTTATTCCTAAAAAAACTATAATGAATAACTACCTTGTAAAATAAATTAATAATCACTAATGTATCACCAAAATCATTGAGTTATCTGGGATAGCCTGGGCCAGGACTAGATAAATATAGGGAGAGAAAAATAAAAATCTTATGAAAATATAGTCAAGAAGTAATATAATAATTACACATTCATCACTTTGTTAAACAAGGAAAAATATGCATATGTTTAATCTCCCTTGAAAACCATCTGATTTTAGTAGAAATAAAAGAAAGGGAACTTTCCCTTTTGAGGGAATAATAAGAAAAATTTTGCTTTTTCCTGTAAGAACATGGACAGAGATTGCTTAGAGTGGTTCATATTAATATTAGAGTTCTCAGAGTACATTTATTTAATTTTCTGATTCATAGGTGATGAAGAAAAATGAGACTATGTAGAGTGACAGATTTGCTATTCAGTTAAAATAACTGGTAGTATATTTTCTTCATGCAGGAAAATTGTGACCACCTCCCCTTCTTTCACAATTATTTACTGTATCCCTTACACCTTTTCTCTTATTCAGGAACACTGTTCCTCGAACCATTCCATTCCTTTATCGCCTCTAGCTTCCTTATCTCCCTTCTTTCTTAGGATGTAAAAATACTTAACGTTTTGGCTGTCATTAGAAATTAAACAAAGCAACCAAAAATTTCATTTTTCTGTCCCTCTTTATTCCTTCAGCTTCCCATCTCTCTCTTTCCTTAAGGTTGAACGCCTTTGAAAGAGATGATACACTTTCTGTCCCAAATTTTACTTCATACAATCTTTAATTCATATCAATCTAGACTTTGCCTTTTTTTTTCACTGAACTCTCCTGAAACTGCCTTTACCAGTGTCACCAAAGACCTAATTTCCTAAGTGCCGCATCTAAAGGATCCTTTGAAATAACTTGTCCTATCTCCCTTTCTGTGGATTTGTACACTATCACCACTCTACTTGAAACTTCCTGATTCCAGGTAACCAGAGGAAACAAAAAATGGCTTACAAAGGCTTCAGATCACATCACATTGATTAGAAACATATCAAACTTTTTGATTACTATGTAAATTGCAACTTTTGGTAGAATTTAAAAAATGAGTGGGATAATAAAAGTAAATTTTCTGTTTAGCAAATTACATGAGGTCTTGGGATGCTGCTCTCACTGACTGGTTTGAGAAGGCCACATTTAGAAGGTGGTGGTATTAACGGTCCCAATGACAGTCTGGAATCAGGCAAGTTGACAGGAGTGACAGAGATGGAAGAAATATTGAGACAGGGAGAGGAATCATCACTACTACACCAGAAAGGGGATAGGCATCTCTGAAACCCATGTTGCTCATGATCAGACATTTGGTGCAGCAGCTGTAAAGGAATGACAGAAAGAAAAATATACTAAGAAGAGGAAAGGAGGCATGGAGGACAGGAAAAAGTATACACGAAAGATTATTTGTAAAATGTCAGCTTATTAAAATGGTAAGATAATTTCACAATAATGCTACTAAAATAAAAACACAGAGTTGGAGTTGATTTTCCTGTGTGATAGTCCTGACATCCCGGGTTGCTTAACTGGCTCATTTTTAACTAAAATATTTAGACACTTTAAATAAAATATTGCATTCATGAGGAAGACTTAAGAGGGAAAGAGTAGAGAGGAAAATGAAAGCTGAAGATTTATTTTAAAGAGGACTTCAGTAATGAGATGAGAAAAGGGAGGATAGTCAAGAGCAGAAGTCATAAAAACAGGCGTAAACCCTCATAAATGAGGCTTTGTAGAACATTCAAAAATGGTCACAACACACAATTTAGACTTAATCCTCAAAACATTCTTTTTAAGTACTAGTATTAGTGATATGATGTCTTTATTATAACAAACACATGAGAATTAAGGCTCAGAGATGTTTTTGACTTATTAGATTTATTCCTTTAGGAGGTAGGAAGTAGATTTAAAAGTCAAAACAGTCTGACTCCGGGCATCACGTCCTCTCTATAGGTAGTGAGGAGTTTTTAATAGCAAGACTTTTCATGAATGGGAGGAAACAGTTGTCAAGCATCTCAAATAAATCAGAGAGATAATTAATAAGCAAGGAGTACCCCGTACTGGGTCTGAACATTAGTCTTTGGATGGTTTTTAGGGGCTATTTCCACTATAGCAAGGAAAGCCACCATCACGAGCTGAGCTGCAGCGAGCTGGGCTACCAGATGTCAGAGTGGCCAATTAAACAAGCCAAAATGAAACTAATAATTAAGCTTTTACTCACTTACTGTGATAGTATAAGCAAGAGGCCAGAAAGAAGGTGCCTGCTACATCCATGTTCCATTCTCCCCTACATATGGCACTAAACTGGTGTCAGAAGTATCCCTGCAGAAGTGGGACATGGTCTCATTGCTGAGGGAGTTCTGAACAAAAGGTTCCTAAGATTTTCTTTGGAAAAGAGGCCGTGGGGAGAGGAAAGAGAAGGACTTGGAGTAGAAGAGTACCGAATACTAAGTCATAGCAAAGAAAAGTGTCTTCAGGGCCCCCAGAAAAATGCAGTCTCAGTAGAGGCGCCTAAGAGATGCCTTGGTCAGGGTCTTCTTAAAATGAGGCCCCTGAATGGAGAAACCTGGGCTAAAAATGCAGATATACACAAAAGCATGGTGAGCCAGGGGGCATGAGTGCTAGACTCAGTTCCTCCAAACTGTGTACTTAATCTGGTGTGGGGAGGGGAGGGCAGTTTCCCCCAGGAGACTTGCCAGGAAAAGCCTATCTAACTGCTATGCTTGGGCCAGAAACATCATATATAGGATTTTGGCCTGGAGCCACATTCCTCAGCACAAGTCACACTTCAGAGATTTTTTACCAGTAATAGGAATTTCAGGCAGCCAACAAAAATATGCCTATTTTTTTTTTGACTCAGGGTCTTATTTTTTGCCCGGGCAAAGTGCAGTGGCACAATCACGGCTCACCACAGCGTTGATCTCCTGGGCTCAGGCAATCCTCCCTCCCATTCTCCCAAGTAGCTGAGACTGCAGGTATGCACCACCATGCCTAATTTTTTATTTGTTTTGGTAGAGACGAGGTCTTGCTATGTTGCCTGGGCTAATTTCAAACTCCTGGGTCCAAGCTATCTTCCCATCTCAGCCTCCAAAAGTGCTGATATTCCTGGCATAAGCCATGGTGCCTAGCCAAAATCTGACTTTTGATCATCTTCATAGTAAAAGATAGTGACTGAAATTAGAAGAGAAGGATCAACAAGTTTGAGGGAGGCCCTTAAGCTAGGAGGCACCTCTTCACACATTTCTAGAAGCAGAGGGGAAAAGGAAGCTCTGTTAAGTGAGAGATAAAGTTGAGGAAAGAGCTCACTGTGGAAGCAAAATCTCAGATAATCTGAGTTATATGTACATATGTACATATATAATCACAGAATTATTGATTTCTCTATTGATCTCCATAGTTATATATGTCCATCTATCTGGAGATATGTATGTATATAATTTTTTTAAATCTATTTTTTGTTCTATATGGCTTCCTGTATAATTCTGCAATTGGTGGCTACCTTTTACCTAATCATAGGTTAGAATTGTAAGCGCCTTGTGGGAAAAATTTTGTTTGAAAACTACTCCAGGCTGGGTTCGGTGGCTCAGCCTGTAATCCCAGCGCTTTGGGAGGCCGAGGTGAGCGAACTGCCTGAGCCCGCGGGCTCGAGATCCTCCTGGGCAACTTGGCGAGACTTCAACTCTACAATAAATCAAAAAAAATTAGCCGGACATGGTAGCGCGCGCCTGTAATTCCGGCTACTCGGAAGGCTGAGGTGGAAGGATCGCTGGAGCCCAGCAGGCGAGGCTGGGCGACAGAGTGAGACTCCAACTCAAAAAAAAAAAAAAAAAAAAAAAACTACTCCATATAACACATTATTGCCAATTAATTTTTATTGTCTGATTTATATTAGAGCATTTTAAAATGTAAACTATAAGTTGGTAAGGATGTCCATACTGAGTAAAGCGTAGTAAGATATTAAAGAGAAGTTGTCCTTGATGGCATCTGACTTTTAAGAAAATGGAAATATTCTACATTTTTTATGACATATGTTGGCCAAGTTTTTTTAGATTAGAAAATATAGTTTATTTGAAAAGTTTAAGTTAGAGAGAGAGAGAAAGAAAGAGGAAATTCACCTCCCCAAGGCAGGGAAAGGGTCCAAAGTCTCCCAGTTTTTTTACTAGGTGTCGCAAAACAAATTGAAGGACTAAATAACCTAACTTGAAAGTGCCTTAGTATTTTTGTCATGCTGTTAATATCATACATCCTCATAGTAGTACTTCCTCTGGAAAGGTACACTTACAAAAATGAAGAATACATATGACATTAAAATAATCAAGGATTCAAGTGCCACAGTTAAGAAGTCTTTTCACTTTCAGAATGGTAAGAAGGGATATCTGATAATGCCAATAGTCTTGGCATCTAGAGTTTAAGACTCCAACACTATCTTTTACAGGTCTTCTTGGGGTCATCAGTAATCTGGCGTTTTTTTCTTTGTTTAGATCACAAGAGTCTTCTGGGTTTTGAATTAGTCTTCAGGTGTTCCTAACACATAGAAAAGATAAATGTTTGGGGTGATAGATATCTCATTACTCTAGACTTGATCATTATACATTGCATACAGAAATCAAAATATCACATTTACTCCAAAAAATGTACAACTAATATATATCAATAAAAATATAACAATTTTAAAAGTTAAAAATAAATTTTAAAATATTGTACATTGAAACCCAGAGATTTTCTTGAAGTTAGGAAATCTAGAAATTAAGCTCTAATAATACTTCCATGAAAATAACTGACTGGTATTCAATAATTGCTATGTCTTTTAAGTTAGTCTGTGTTCTCCGATTCATCACTCCTACCACATGCAATTTTCACACGTTTATGTAATAGATTGGGCTCTGTTGACATTTGAGTTTGTGATTCCTAACCTAGAAACAATTCAAGTCAAGGAATTTGATGTTATATCTGATTCACTATAATAATACAATGGAAGCTCAGCATACTTAAATATATGAGTATATGTAGTTCTTGATTCTGTTCCAAATTATTAGGCTTATTAAATAAAAATAAGAACATGTGGATTTAGCATCTAAATTACATAGAGTGTAATTCTTGGCACTTAAGTATCAAGGTTCTGGAACTAGGCTTTTTTTGAATGCTACTTTTAACTGGTTGAAGTTTTTTTAAAAAGAAATTAAATACATTGTTTAGCTGAAAAATAATCTGATAATTTAACTTTGGGTCTTCTTTCAGTATTTTGACAAATGGCTAAAAAACAAAATTGTTGGGCTGTCCCCACAGAAGTACATGGCACTACTGTTAAACCAACTCATTTCTGTTCATAATTCCAAGTGTCTTGGTCTTTTGGGATGTACATGGACTCTGAATTACTGTACTAAGGGATATTCTATGTTCAACAATTGCATATTAGTTATGCAGAAATTGTTAGTTTATTAAGATATGTTAATAATGAGTGTCCATATTTGAGATGTGTTGTTGCTGTCTTTTTGTAGTTTTTTCTTTCAGTAAGTAGTGACTTTTGGTGCAATTAGGCAATAGAGAATATTTCAGCTTTGAGTTTTGCACAGATGTGACAAGATAAAATGGCATAAAAGTGAATCCTATCAGTAAATATTGAATACATTTAAACAACACTTTGAGATTAAACAGTTCTGTGGTAATATCTATAGAAATATAAGAATGGGGTGACGGGGCAAGATGGCGACCTGGCAACCCGGTGTCTGAAGCCCTCTGCAAGGGAGATCTGCAGTGGGTCTCTGA